GGGCGGGGGTCCCTAGGAGGGACAGGACCCTGGGCTCCCTCCCAGCAGTGGGGTGGGGGGGTCCCCAAAATGCCTGGTTTCTGTCCCCTATGGGCATGACCAGCCTGAGCAGGGCTTGGTGAGGGGGGGTGTCAGTCTGTGCCCCCCTGACCCCGATCCTGGCTCCACCGCAGGAGGATGGAGAGGAGGTGGTGGAGGAGGAACCACAGAAGGAAGAGGAGCTGCCGGGCGAGGCAGAGAAAGCTGAGTAAGTGGGGGGCCAGGGCCCCCCTGGGGGGGTCCATGGCCCCATTGGGGGGTGTATGGTCCCATTGGGGCAGTAGGGTGGGTCCGTGGCCCCGTTGGGTGTTGCATGGTCCCATTGGGTCTTGCATGGTCCTGCTGGGGGCTATGGGGTGGGTCCATGGTCCTGTTGGGTGTTGCATGGTCCCATTGGAGGCTGTGGGGTGGGTGCATGGCCCTGTTGGGTGTTGCCTGGCCCCCCCTTGGGTGCTCCATAGTCCCATTGGGGCAGTAGGGTGAGTCTATGGCCCTGTTGGGTGCTGCATGGTCCCACTGGGGGCTCTGGGGTGGGTCCAGGGCCCCATTGGAGCTATGGGGTGGGTGCATGGCCCCACTGGGGTGGTGGGGTGGGTACATGGCCCCATCGGGGGGTGCCTGTCCCCCTTGGTGGGGCTGTGGGAAGGATGGAGGGTCCTGCTGGGGGCCTCCACCCAGGCAGCACCCTCACCCCAGCACAGAGAATGGGGAGAAGGCTGGGGCAGAGGGGGCCGAGGCGGGGCCCGAGCCTGGTGCCCCCGAGAAGAGAAGGAAATCGGTCCCCCGGGAGCGGAAGGAGCCGCCGGCTGAAGGAGCCTTCGAGTTCTGGACTGAGCTGGAGGTCCAGAGGGTCAAATTCCTGGTACGGGGTGGCCAAGGAGGGGCTGGGATCCCCATTGCCTGAGCACTGGGACCCTCCTCCCCGTGTGCAAGCCAGCCACTGGGACCCCCATCCCTGGGTGAGGGGGGGGGGGGCAATGGGGCACCCCATCAATGGGGGCATACCCTGGCTGGGTGCTCAGGGGGGGTCCTGGGGCTGGGCCCCCCCACCCCTGAGCATGTCCCTGTCCCTCCCCCCCTGGTGCAGAACTACTTGTCCAGGAACTTCTACAACCTGCGGTTCCTGGCGCTCTTCCTCGCCTTCGCCATCAACTTCATCCTCCTCTTCTACAAGGTC